CAGTCCGACTGTCTCTACTTGTACCGACGGTGACAACAACCCACCTCCACGACCAACACAGCCATCCGACACACTTTGCCAGTCCGACTGTCTCTACTTGTACCACCTGTGACAACAACACACCTCCACGACCCACACAGCCATCCGACACACTTGGCCAGTCCGACTGTCTCTACTTGTACCACCGGTGACAACAACCCACCTCCACGACCCACACAGCCATCCGACACACTTTGCCAGTCCGACTGTCTCTACTTGTACCACCGGTGACAACAACCCACCTCCACGACCCACACAGCCATCCGACACACTTTGCCAGTCCGACTGTCTCTACTTGTACCACCTGTGACAACAACACACCTCCACGACCCACATAGTCATCCGACACACTTGGCCAGTCCGACTGTCTTTACTTGTACCACCGGTGACAACAACCCACCTCCACGACCCACACAGCCACCCGACACACTTGGCCAGTCCGGCTGTCTCTACTTGTACCACCTGTGACAACAACACACCTCCACGACCCACACAGCCATCCGACACACTTGGCCAGTCCGACTGTCTCTACTTGTACCGACGGTGACAACAACACACCTCCACGACCCACACAGCCATCCGAGACACTTGGCCAGTCCGACTGTCTTTACTTGTACCACCGGTGACAACAACCCACCTCCACGAACCACACAGCCATCCGACACACTTGGCCAGTCCGGCTGTCTCTACTTGTACCACCTGTGACAACAACCCACCTCCACGACCCACACAGCCATCCGACACACTTTGCCAGTCCGACTGTCTCTACTTGTACCACCGGTGACAACAACCCACCTCCACGACCCACACAGCCATCCGACACACTTTGCCAGTCCGACTGTCTCTACTTGTACCACCTGTGACAACAACACACCTCCACGACCCACATAGTCATCCGACACACTTGGCCAGTCCGACTGTCTTTACTTGTACCACCGGTGACAACAACCCACCTCCACGACCCACACAGCCACCCGACACACTTGGCCAGTCCGGCTGTCTCTACTTGTACCACCTGTGACAACAACACACCTCCACGACCCACACAGCCATCCGACACACTTGGCCAGTCCGACTGTCTCTACTTGTACCGACGGTGACAACAACCCACCTCCACGACCCACACAGCCATCCGAGACACTTGGCCAGTCCGACTGTCTTTACTTGTACCACCGGTGACAACAACCCACCTCCACGAACCACACAGCCATCCGACACACTTGGCCAGTCCGGCTGTCTCTACTTGTACCACCTGTGACAACAACCCACCTCCACGACCCACACAGCCATCCGACACACTTGGCCAGTCCGACTGTCTCTACCTGTACCACCGGTGACAACAACCCACCTCCACGACCCACACAGCCACCCGACACACTTGGCCAGTCCGACTGTCTCTACTTGTACCGACGGTGACAACAACCCACCTCCACGACCAACACAGCCATCCGACACACTTTGCCAGTCCGACTGTCTCTACTTGTACCACCTGTGACAACAACACACCTCCACGACCCACACAGCCATCCGACACACTTGGCCAGTCCGACTGTCTCTACTTGTACCACCGATGACAACAACCCACCTCCACGACCCACACAGCCATCCGACACACTTTGCCAGTCCGACTGTCTCTACTTGTACCACCGGTGACAACAACCCACCTCCACGACCCACACAGCCATCCGACACACTTGGCCAGTCCGACTGTCTCTACTTGTACCACCTGTGACAACAACCCACCTCCACGACCCACACAGCCATCCGACACACTTTGCCAGTCCGACTGTCTCTACTTGTACCACCGGTGACAACAACCCACCTCCACGACCCACACAGCCATCCGACACACTTTGCCAGTCCGACTGTCTCTACTTGTACCACCGGTGACAACAACCCACCTCCACGACCCACACAGCTATCCGACACACTTGGCCAGTCCGACTGTCTCTACCTGTACCACCGGTGACAACAACCCACCTCTACGACCCACACAGTCATCCGACACACTTGGCCAGTCCGACTGTCTCTACTTGTACCACCGGTGACAACAACCCACCTCCACGACCCACACAGCCACCCGACACACTTGGCCAGTCCGACTGTCTCTACTTGTACCACCGATGACAACAACCCACCTCCACGACCCACACAGCCATCCGACACACCTGGCCAGTCCGACTGTCTCTACTTGTATCACCGGTGACAATAACCCACCTCCACGACCCACACAGCCACCCGACACACTTGGCCAGTCCGACTGTCTCTACTTGTACCACCGGTGACAACAACCCACCACCACGACCCACACAGCCATCCGACACACTTAGCCAGTCCGACTGTCTTTACTTGTACCACCGGTGACAACAACCCACCTCCACCACCCACACAGCCATCCGACACACTTGGCAAGTCCAACTGTCTCTATTTGTACCACCTGTGACAACAACCCACCACCACGACCCACACAGCCATCCGACACACTTGGCCAGTCCGACTGTCTGTACTTGTACCCACGGTGACAACAACCCACCTCCACGACCCACACAGCCATCCGACACACTTTGCTAGTCCGACTGTCTCTACTTGTACCGACGGTGACAACAACCCACCTCCACGACCCACACAGCCATCCGACACACTTGGCCAGTCCGACTGTCTCTACCTGAACCACCGTGACAACAACCCACCTCCACGACCCACACAGCCATCCGACACACTTTGCCAGTCCGACTGTCTCTACATGTAGCACCTGTGAGAACAACCCACCTCCACGACCCACACAGCCATCCGACACACTTGGCTAGTCCGACTGTCTCTACTTGTACCGACGGTGACAACAACCCACCTCCACGACCCACACAGCCATCCGACACACTTGGCCAGTCCGACTGTCTGTACTTGTACCGACGGTGACAACAACCCACCTCCACCACCCACACAGCCATCCGACACACTTTGCCAGTCCGACTGTCTCTACATGTAGCACCTGTGAGAACAACCCACCTCCACGACCCACACAGCCATCCGACACACTTGGCTAGTCCGACTGTCTCTACTTGTACCGACGGTGACAACAACCCACCTCCACGACCCACACAGCCACCCGACACACTTTGCCAGTCCGGCTGTCTCTACTTGTACCACCTGTGACAACAACCCACCTCCACGACCCACACAGTCACCCGACACACTTGGCCAGTCCGACTGTCTCTACTTGTACCACCGGTGACAACAACCCACCTCCACGACCCACACAGTCATCCGACACACTTGGCCAGTCCGACTGTCTCTACTTGTACCGACGGTGACAACAACCCACCTCCACCACCCACACAGCCATCCGACACACTTTGCCAGTCCGACTGTCTCTACTTGTACCACCTGTGAGAACAACCATCCACCACGACCCACACAGCCATCCGACACACTTGGCCAGTCCGACTGTCTCTACTTGTACCGACGGTGACAACAACCCACCTCCACCACCCACACAGCCATCCGACACACTTGGCAAGTCCAACTGTCTCTATTTGTACCACCTGTGAGAACAACCCACCACCACGACCCACACAGCCATCCGACACACTTTGCCAGTCCGACTGTCTCTACTTGTTCCGACGGTGACAACAACCCACCTCCACCACCCACACAGCCATCCGACACACTTGGCCAGTCCGACTGTCTCTACTTGTACCACCTGTGAGAACAACCCACCACCACGACCCACACAGCCATCCGAAACACTTGGCCAGTCCGACTGTCTCTACTTGTACCGACGGTGACAACAACCCACCTCCACCACCCACACAGCCATCCGACACACTTGGCCAGTCCGACTGTCTCTACTTGTACCACCTGTGAGAACAACCCACCACCACGACCCACACAGCCATCCGACACACTTGGCCAGTCCGACTGTCTCTACTTGTACCGACGGTGACAACAACCCACCTCCACGACCAACACAGCCATCCGACACACTTTGCCAGTCCGACTGTCTCTACTTGTACCACCGGTGACAACAACCCACCTCCACGACCAACACAGCCATCCGACATACTTGGCCAGTCCGACTGTCTCTACTTGTACCACCGGTGACAACAACCCACCTCCAGGAACCACACAGTCATCCGACACACTTGGCCAGTCCGACTGTCTCTACTTGTACCATCGGTGACAACAACCCACCTCCACGACCAACACAGCCATCCGACACATTTTGCCAGTCCAACTGTCTCTACCTGTACCACCGGTGACAACAACCCACCTCCACGACCCACACAGCCATCCGACATACTTGGCCAGTCCGACTGTCTCTACTTGTACCACCGGTGACAATAACCCACATCCACGACCCACACAGCCATCCGACACACTTGGCCAGTCCGACTGTCTCTACTTGTACCACCGGTGACAACAACCCACCTCCACGACCCAAACAGCCATCCGACACACTTGGCCAGTCCGACTGTCTCTATTTGTACCGACGGTGACAACAACCCACCTCCACGACCCAAACAGCCATCCGACACACTTGGCTAGTCCGACTGTCTCTATTTGTACCGACGGTGACAACAACCCACCTCCACGACCCACACAGCCATCCGACACACTTGGCCAGTCCGACTGTCTCTACTTGTACCACCTGTGACAACAACCCACCTCCACGACCCACACAGCTATCCGACACACTTGGCCAGTCCGACTGTCTCTACTTGTACCACCGGTGACAACAACCCACCTCCACGACCCACACAGCCACCCGACACACTTGGCCAGTCCGACTGTCTCTATTTGTACCACCGGTGACAACAACACACCTCCACGACCCACACAGTCACCCGACACACTTGGCCAGTCCGACTGTCTCTACCTGTACCACCGGTGACAAGAACACACCTCCACGACCCAAACAGCCATCTGACACACTTGGCCAGTCCGACTGTCTCTACCTGTACCACCGGTGACAACAACCCACCTCCACGACCCAAACAGCCATCCGACACACTTGGCCAGTCCGACTGTCTCTACCTGTACCGACGGTGACAACAACCCACCTCCACGACCCACAGAGCCATCCGACATACTTGGCCAGTCCGACTGTCTCTACCTGTACAACTGATGCAACAATCTACACATGACTTATGTATCGTATGCGAATCATACACTGTGATATTAGTACTGCATTATACCAGGCTTGTGAAAGCTTAGTCAGAGTAAACGATTGTTGACAACTCTAGGGGTGGTACACTGAAGTGTTGACATACAAAGGCAACCACTGCTGTATACCTCTCTCACTGTCCTATTACCAGTATTCAAGTACAATTCGTCTGTATGCATGCAATTTGAACTTTAAGCTGATCTCTAAAAGCTCCACGTACAGTACTTTAATAGGCTTTTCTTATGCCCATGTCTAGTGAGTCACCTGACCAGCCTCGTGATGCGCGAACCTATTCCCCTGTCAATATTCTGAACTGTTTATGTGTAAATATTCGGGGGTGTTCATCCATATTCATCCTGTGTGTCCGAGGTAGGCTGTGTGAGTCGTGATATTTGTCTCTGGTGTAACGCAACATGAAACAGATACTTCTGTGTGGGATAATACTGCTGACTGTCCGTCTTTCTCTGACCTCAGGTAAGGAATGCTTTCGCTTCACTCAGCCACACCCAGTTTTCAGGGTCATGGATTAACAGAATTGATTTTCTTGATGTTGTTGTTGGACAGGTAGGGTGGTTTGTTCCTACTGGGATCATTCTGTGATGAGATTGCTGTACTACCAATGCCTATGCGCAAAGTTTACTTAAATAGCCTCATCCGTGTCTCCCCCGAGTGTTTTCAAATCTATCAACGTGAGTAGCTACAAGTTTAAACCTGATAATGTGACAAAGAACTACATATCATTGAGATCCGACTAGATATCGCCTAATCTCACTCAAGCGATAACTCTCGTGGATCTAGTTTTGAAATGATAAATTCTAGTATTCGCCATCTCTTTCTCTAAGTGCCTATTTTTTTATCATAGAATCCTGCTCGTCCTCTCTCTCCCACATTAAGAAGATGCACAACCTAAATATGGAATTAAATTTATAAACAACATATTAAAACAAGCATCGTTTTCTAGTGATGGCCTGGAATGACGGCATAACAGCATGTGGCGGGTTCATTCTCATCCCTACATGTCATCGGCGACGTAATCAGTGAATGAGATCATGTTGGTTTACGCGGAAGTCACCAATAATCCACTAGAACAGAACAGAACAGAACAGAGCAGAACAGAACAGAACAATGTTTATTTCTCATAAATTACTCAGTGATGTAGAGAACATACATTTTACAGTTAATCAAATACAATGATATATACACGGTGGAATAAACATGGTACTGAATATATACATCGGTGCGCGGTATACTTACATACATGAGGAAGCGAATATGTACATTTAACTGGAACACATTGAGATAACAATCAACATCATTAATAGATATACACACATTCATCATACTAAAACATATCTTGCATTTATTTCTGTATGGACAATCCACTTTTGATATATTTACAAAACTTTATAAGTAATGGCTGATATTGACAATTCATGAGATAGGTAAATTTGTCTATAGTTGCATATTGACAAAAATAGTTGGGTAATAAAGATTTCCGGAGATCCTGTAATTCATTACAACATAATTCAAAATGAAATTCATCCCCAATTGCAGTGTTACAAAGTGAGCACAGTCTGCCATTTCTATATACATTATTCCATCTTCCTGTTTCAATTGCTAGCCTGTGATTTGTTGTGCTTAACCGAGTTAGCCAAGTTCGGAGATTGTAGGGGAGTGATAAATATGGTTCTAAAATGAGATCATGTTTAACTGGTAAATAAGTATCCGCTTTCGAAGAAATTCTAATAGACATACTCCAATATTGTTTAAACTGGTCCAGTAAAATGAGCTCAACTTGTTCTTTTACCCATAAAGTATTTGGTACAGTTTGTGATAACCATATATAATACAAACCGGTTTCTTGAGGGATTTCCTTTGCCAGATTTATCAGCGGAAAGAAGACGGTTTCACTGTTATTCGTCATCGACAGCATAATAGAATGTAAAGTGTTGGGAGAGGTTTCCTTGTAGTAATTAATTTACACCAGTACGATATTATTCTAATTTTAACTGTTATACTAATTGGATGTCTACCAAGTTCGTTATAGGCCATATTATCTGGAGTTGTTTGCTGAACGTTAAGGATATATTTACAATATCTTAAATGTAGTCTCTCTAGGATACCTAATCGTTCAAGGCCCCAAACTTCAGAGCCATACAACAATATTGGTGGGATTAAGTTATCAAACAACTTTAGCTGACAATTAACTGGGATTTCTGGTTGTCGAATGAGTTCAAAAACTGCAAACATGGCTCTACTTGCCTGGTCACTAAGGGACTTAATAGCGCTACAGAACCTTCCATTGCCTGACAATAATACACCCAAGTAAAGATACTGTTTAACAATCGCACAACCTTGCAGAGTAAACGTAAGTCTTTTCCTCACGTATCCTTTTGAAAATATCACAACCTTTGTTTTATTTATATTGACTTTTAGCTTCCATGCTTCACACTAATTTCCCTGAAGTATCTAAAGCTTTCTGTAAGTCTGCAGCAGTCTCCGACAGCAAGACGGTGTCATCTGCGTAAAGAAGCAGTAATAACTTCATAAAAACACCCAAATGACTCTCGATATAATTATTCACAAAATCCAAAACTATGACCTCCTATTCTCCCAGAAAGCATTCAAAATCGTTAATATAAAGCGCAAACAGAAAAGGAGACACATTTTCACCTTGGTGAAGTACACAAGTCCCCGGGGAATGATGACACGATCAGCCAGCGGAACAACACGATCCCCGTGTCTACAATGGATTATGACCTACATATATGTTCATACATTGAATAAGGGTTCTTCTCTTGAATACTCAAGACCTACTCGTCGAGTGAAAAAAGCCATACGTACACGAGGCGGGTAATTCCAGCTACATGCGTGACAGAACAACGCTAACCGCGTTTGCACCGGATGTTTCAGTTGATGTTGTTTTGAGTTCAAGATGAGACTCCACTTCATGACGCGCTGTTGTTTGGCACAGTGCCTTAGTTCGTATGACGTTTAGCGCCATTTTGAGATTTTCGATGATCTTAGCTTAAAACTCTGACGTAGAAGCCCCTGCACAGGCTCTCTTTCTGGACGTTAACTGGTTTTAGGAAGCGGTATGATACGTTAAATTTATGATCCTTGCAAAAGCACTATACCAATTTTTCCCTTTGGCGGAGGTAGGGGCGGTTATGTCTCGGCTGTATGGGGGCGGTTATGTCTCGGCTGTATGGGGGCGGTTATGTCTCGGCTGTATGGGGGCGGTTATGTCTCGGCTGTATGGGGGCGGTTATGTCTCGGCTGTATGGGGGCGGTTATGTCTCGGCTGTATGGGGGCGGTTATGTCTCGGCTGTATGGGGGCGGTTATGTCTCGGCTGTATGATGAGCGAGCACCGCATCCCTCAGCCAAGATATATCGTGTCTCCTTCCATCTGTAAATAAAGAAGCAACGGCATTTTATGATGGATGTAAACACATGCCTATGCTACTTCAAGTCTGGGTCATATATATTGTATATCATATTGCACCTTTGATGACAATTTATTGCTAACAATGTTATTGTTTCTGACATGTACAGCTCGCGTTAACGGTTCCCTTGTTTTTCTTACCAACTTAACCATTTCTTAATTTTTTTAATCTTGCATAACTGTATCGATATGAGGAAATTTCTGCTCGTATTTGCAAAGTCGAAAGAAGGGAATTTGACCTAGAAACTTTAAATAAAGTTTTAGTTACATCAATGATCTGATATTGTCCATTAATGGTCAAGTAGCCAATTCCCTTCCACTGATTTACCCACCTGAACTAGAAATAAAAGAAACCAGCGATGATGTTCGATGCAATTCTCTACTTTGACTTGTACCATATGGTTCCGTGTTCAGGAGAACAATTGACTTGCCTTTGTATGTGTTTGTGTTTTCCTACTTTTTCGCGTACAATGGACTTTGCTTTCAGCAGAAATGTCTTATGATTATAGAAACATCCAAATAAACAAATAATGTTATCCTGCCTGCCGAGGATCGCCGTTTGAATTGCGGAAAGCATGTAATTTTACCCCGAAGTTCAGATCGTTCTATCTGGTCCAGAATCGCCTATGTACATGCCTCCGCGATACAGCTCTTACACAGGTGAAGAAAACAACATTCACTCACTTGAAACACCTTAATATTGTTTTTAACCATAATGTCAACATACCCTAATATTACAGTCATTTATTAAACAGAAGTTATCGTATAATATTTTTATTTTATCTAACTTCGGTCAATCAGGTTTATATCTGCAACGTCCATTTCATCTACGAGAACATCGAGACATGTGCTATCAACATTGGCGTGATACATCACAACCACCTCGTGGCTGTCACGTTCAATACACAAGAACGTGTATAATGTATACACTTCTGTGTACCCATAACGTATAGCCCTCTGTGTCATGCAAATGTCATCTATTTATCTCACTCCAAATAGCGTTTAAGTTGCGTATGCTGTGTGTACCCTTATATGTTACCCCAAACACCCTAGCTAGAACCAATTCGCTCTACCCTATGAACCAGAGGTCCCCCACCGGTTGCCAAAGGACAGAACAAGGCGTGGTACACATGGTACCAACGCTAGGTACGTACGTTTATGAACGCAAAGGTATCTCGTTTTCACACATATTGCAAAGAATAAAGATACAGCAACTCTGTCTGCTGATAAAGCCTGCCGTGTACGCATTAGTATGTATAAAGGTAGTAATTGTTAAACCGAACATCAGAGTAGAACGTCGGTGTTGTTTGTTATCGGGAGAAGACCAAACGCACAAACTTGCCAAAACTGTTGCTAAAACGTCAATCTATTATTAAGAGGGAGATTGTTATTATATTTCTGCATATGTTGTCTGAATGCTACTCAGCTTGTGAAAGGAATATTCCTGTTATTCCAAGATAATCAAAATGATTCCCTACTTCTTTCCACCTACAAGTACCACACTATTCCTTTAGAGCTGCAATAATTTGCGTTACACAGTGGCGTCCATGTTATTTGAGATGTCCTAATGCTGCATGCAATGATCTATTTTACACAGTGAGGTACTTAATGCTAACATGCAACGATATGTGTTCTACAGTGGCGTCTACCCACGAGTGCAAGCGGACATGTCAGAAGAACGAACGCCCCCGGGTGTGTGTGTATAACTTCACCGTGGAGTGGTACAGAACACTCTCTAAGGTGAGAAAACAAGATCCTGAAGAAGTTAAGGACTACACGCTTCTTTCAGATTACCAAAGTCAATTTGTCATGTCATTACATATTAACTACAGTTATATGAAAGGATCGGATGGTCTTTAATTCAGTGTGAATGTTTCAGGCATGCTATGATTGTCCATTCAACCACTCGGACTGTTTTCGGCCGGACTGTGTGTCCGGGGATGGGAGGATTAAACCCTTGATCGCCGTCAACAGACAGGTGCCCGGTCCATCTATTGAGGTCAGTGTGAACTTCTAACCTTAACTCCGATCTGATGGATGAACGAATGCATTGACATGCATTGGCATTGCTGTGTAATACAGTCAAGCGACGTATCAGAAGCTTACTATCTGGTTTGAATATTGTATTAAAGAACCGTACATCCATTCTGACGAAGAGCACTATACATGTATGCCAGATTGAAAAAGAAGCTTGTAGGCATTCTGATGAAGAGCGCTATACATGTATGTAACATTGATAAAGAATCTTGTATGAATTCTGATGAAAAGCGCTATACATGTATGTAACATTGATAAAGAACCTTGTATGAATTCTGATGAAGAGCGCTATACATGTATGTAACATTGATAAAGAACCTTGTATGAATTCTGATGAAGAGCGCTATACATGTATGTAACATTGATAAAGAATCTTGTATGAATTCTGATGAAAAGCGCTATACATGTATGTAACATTGATAAAGAACCTTGTATGAATTCTGATGAAGAGCGCTATACATGTATGCAATATTGATATAAAAAAAAGCTTAAATGCATCCTGATGAAGAGCGCTATACATGTATGCAATATTGATATAAAAAAAAGCTTAAATGCATTCTGATGAAGAGCGCTATACATGTCTGTAAAATTGATAAAAATGCTTGTATGCATTCTGATGAAGAGCACTATACATGTATGCAATATTGATGAAGAACCGTATGTGCATTCTGATGAAGAGCACAATACATATATGCAATATTGATAAAGACGCCTGTATGCATTCTGACGAAGAACCACACATTCAATGGTACGAATATTCGTATACTGTGTATGCAATATCAAGCAGAGCCATTAAAGAAATATAAGAAAGAGTCATATCTGAAAAAAAAGAGAATTGCTTGATATGTTTTCGTGTCAATATATTATTTTGAACCATTATGAACCAGTCATGTATTTTATGACGAAGAGCTATGAATACATTATAATATAAACCTTGGAAGCGATATGATATAGAGCTACATCTGCAGTGATGAGCCAAGCCAGACATCTACAGATATGGCGTCGAGTATATGTCTCAGTAAAACACAGGTCGCCGATATACGTGTCTTGTTGACACATTTAATGACAGGGAGCTTACGGTGCCCGATGGGAACATGCCAGGAACATGCCAGGAAAATGCCAGGAAGAACAACAATAGTTGGGTGGGGTGGTGGTGGTGGTGGTTTGTGACGTCACATACTCCTCTGTTGTAGGTGTGTGAGGGTGACTACGTGGTGGTGGTTTGTGACGTCACATACTCCTCTGTTGTAGGTGTGTGAGGGGGACTACGTGGTGGTGTGTTATGACGTCACATACTCCTCTGTTGTAGGTGTGTGAGGGGGACCGCGTGGTGGTGTGTTGTGACGTCACATACTCGTCTGTTGTAGGTGTGTGAGGGGGACCGCGTGGTGGTGTGTTATGACGTCACATACTCCTCTGTTGTAGGTGTGTGAGGGGGGGCCGCGTGGTGGTGTGTTATGACGTCACATACTCCTCTGTTGTAGTTGTGTGAGGGTGACTACGTGGTGGTGTGTTATGACGTCACATACTCCTCTGTTGTAGGTGTGTGAGGGGGACCGCGTGGTGGTGTGTTGTGACGTCACATACTCCTCTGTTGTAGGTGTGTGAGGGGGACCGAGTGGTGGTGTGTTATGACGTCACATACTCCTCTGTTGTAGGTGTGTGAGGGGGACCGCGTGGTGGTGTGTTATGACGTCACATACTCCTCTGTTGTAGGTGTGTGAGGGGGACCGCGTGGTGGTGTGTTGTGACGTCACATACTCCTCTGTTGTAGGTGTGTGAGGGGGACCGCGTGGTGGTGTGTTGTGACGTCACATACTCGTCTGTTGTAGGTGTGTGAGGGGGACCGAGTGGTGGTGTGTTGTGACGTCACATACTCGTCTGTTGTAGTTGTGTGAGGGGGACCGAGTGGTGGTGTGTTGTGACGTCACATACTCGTCTGTTGTAGTTGTGTGAGGGGGACTACGTGGTGGTGTGTTGTGACGTCACATGCTCCTCTGTTGTAGGTGTGTGAGGGTGACTACGTGGTGGTGTGTTGTGACGTCACATACTCCTCTGATGTAGTTGTGTGAGGGGGACTACGTGGTGGTGTGTTGTGACGTCACATGCTCCTCTGTTGTAGGTGTGTGAGGGGGACTACGTGGTGGTGTGTTGTGACGTCACATACTCCTCTGTTGTAGGTGTGTGAGGGGGACTACGTGGTGGTGTGTTGTGACGTCACATACTCCTCTGTTGTAGGTGTGTGAGGGGGACCGCGTGGTGGTGTGTTGTGACGTCACATACTCCTCTGTTGTAGGTGTGTGAGGGGGACCGCGTGGTGGTGTGGGTGACCAATGATATGGAAGATGGTCAGGCGACCAGCATACACTGGCACGGACAACACCAGACAGGAACGCCATACTCTGACGGCGTTGGCCACATCACACAATGCAACATCGGCGTCAAAGAAACTTTCAAGTGAGTGTGTATTTCATTTCAACCTGTTTATCTCATTAACATAAGTGACGATTAACCACATGTTTAATTGAAAACGGCATTATTAGAGGGCATTGTACTAAAACGGATTCCCTCCCATGTCAATGAATATACAAACAGTTTGTTTATCAGCTGTAAGGGTTTTTGTTTTTGCGGCTGAGGCGGCGCGTCCCTTGGGCACGTCCGAAACCTTTGTTCGTGGGTTGGAATCCCGGTCACCCATACGTTATTATCGAAATAATTGTTTCCTCTATCAGTTACTCTTGACAAATACTCCCAATTCAAAGCAGCCATAAGGGTCTGGTAATTGTACGGCGTAACATTGATACTGTGTCACTGACAATTATGGTAACAAATCATTTCTAGATTGAACTGGACTCTAATAGATGCTCTCAGTTTGAAGAATGATGAACCGCTGCTGAGAAATGTGAAACATGTTTGATAATAACCGATTGTTCTCAGCTACTCTTGGGTGGAATTCCTTGAAGAGAAAACATTATTCGATTGGTTGAAACAAAGTTCTCATGTTGTACTTGTGAGCTGCTTCGTGATAATACGGGTAAAACTAATCATGTATAGGGGCATTTAAGTCAGTAATCATGTGTAGTTGAAGATCTAGTTATATTGTGATTACAAAATATAGGATTATGGCAATGATGTAACAGAGTTATATTCAGAAGAATTATGTTTTACGTACAACCTGTAAGAATACATTTCAGATATGAGTTCACAGCCTCGCCAGCAGGCACCCACTGGTACCATGGTCATACAGGCATGCAGCTTGCTGATGGCTTATTCGGTGCCTTCATTGTCCGCCAGCATCAGGACGTAGACCCCAACGGTGCTCTGTACGACGTCGATGACCACATCATGGTGGTGGGGGACTGGAAACCAGTCACTTCAATGACGAGATACGTAGATCTGATGCACGACCTCTACGACATGTCTCTACCACAGGGACTGCACATCAATGGCAGAGCACGCAAAGTTGACGTTCCCAACAAGTTCAACATCGTCAAAACGAACCTGACCACAGCCAAGACGCCAATGGAGGTGTTTGAGGTGACAAGGGGTCAGAGGTACAGGCTTCGTGTGATTGGAGCGTCCGGCAACTGCCCACTACTCGTGGCCGTGGAGAAGCATCAGCTGCAGGTGATCGCTAATGATGGAATGCCCGTCCAGCCAAGACCAGTCGATGTCTTCCTTGTCTTTCCAGGTGAAACCAAGGCTCGGCTCAAGTGTCGTTGTTTATTTCTGAAAACGTTATATTTTAACTATATGCAACGGATTCTTTATTGTCGTTACCCGTCATGGTCAATGTAAGCCATGCCTTTACAACTCGCCTGGTCAGCAAAGGCTCATTTAAGACAGCAATTGGTCTATCGGCCCAAACTCGGAACTGTTCCCATCAGCATTCAAGTGCCAGCCCTTACTCACAATGATAAACGCAACGCAAGATTTATACTCACATACTTTACTAACGCTACAGTCCATCCTCAAAATACAACTTCTAAACAAGACAGGATATGCTCGCCACCGAGACGGAAAACCGACTGATGTCGTTTGACTTCCGTCAGCTGAATAACCCGCACTACTCTGTTAGTGTTACGGGTATGTGTGTAAGGTGATCGACCCTGACCTTTCTTTGTCACATGTTCTAATTCATCAATCTCAGTCGTTAAAACTTAAATCTCACCGTGAACAGTTGAGCATCTCTTTAATGATTTTCTGAATCAACCTGTTTAGTTTTCCATGATGAAAGTTAATCAATTTGAATAGCACAGATAGCTGTCGAAACAATCACGATGATTCACAATCATTTCTCTGTCTATTCCCTTTTTGAACCGAGACTTTCTGTCACCATATCTGTGTGCAATGCAATCACATCATTAGCTATCGCGGCGGTAATCATCATTACAAATGTTTAATTGGTTACAATTTTCTGATGGTTATGAGATACATTTTAACTTTATAACAATATCATAATTAGATATCTTGATTAGTTACATGGATGTCAGTTCTTAATGTGATAGAAGCCGTTTACACTAAACATGAACTCCTTCTGGACCAGAGACTCCGTTTAGAGCTGAGATATGGGTCGGGGTTACTATGGAGTATGATATAAAAAGTGATGTAATGTAGTAACCTTTCCATCATATAATTAATAAAATTCATATCCCACATCCATTGATGTCGGACTCCCACTCACTCGGATCTTCTCCACAAACAGTATCAAATAGCATTACTCAATGAGCAAATTAATGCTTAACATCACAGAACAATTTTTGAGAATTACCAAAAGACCGGCAGATACGGCTGAGGGATGTGATAGAGCTCTGGTTTCACATCCCTGTACTATGGATATTGAGACTTGTTATGCTTATACAAATCGCGCCATGACATCGAAGAGTATATGAGCTGTGTACAGGGGATTAACGTGATCTCATCGGTTTTCATTGACATGATTCAGCTTTACCTGATTAAACCACACATTATGACATTAATTATATGCACCACCTTCAGTCAGTATACACTATCCTGTTGCTTACACATCATATCTTCACAAACTATTCCACGTTCAATATCACAGAGTGAAGGCATAACTCTTGGTCACAAACGGCTGGGAAACATCATATGCCTTCTGAACACGAACCATCTCTAACTTCTGAAGTCAGTTTGACGTCTCCTCTCTCCAGACCCTCATTTGTATATGTCATACTTGAGCGTAAGCATGATATAACCTTAGAACTATCACATTCAGTTCCGTTTGTCTATTTGATGTTTCTATTGCAGGTGAGCGATACGACTTCCTGTTGTTTGCGAACCAGGACGTGGGCAACTATTGGGTCAAGGTCGTCGGTCTGAGCGAGTGCCGAGTGGCTGATGTGTCAGCGGCAGCCATCTTGAGATATGCGGGTGCACCAGATGAAGACCCCAGCACTGCACTCATGTTCTCGACTGCAGGCGGGGTGAGTCGACAGTTGTTGGTAATAGTGTAAATATAAAGAGTTTCCTTAGGGTTCTGCCTGATCAAGTGATATAATTGTAAAATAGAAGGGGAATAGTTAGAGAGCTATCTGTCACATTTCTTTGTATTTTTAGTAAAGATACAGCTGATATACACCGGGATACGCTTCCAAATGGGAAATGGCCACGATCCGCCCGTCTATCTGTGATTTGCGTTGTTATTATCAAATACAAAATAGTAAACTTGCCACGTGACTCTCTCTGTTACTGAGATGACACGACTCTGACTGTTACTGAGATAACACGACTCTGACTGTTACTGAGATAACACGACTCTGTCTGTAACTGAGGTGACACGCCTCTGACTGTTACTGAGATGACACGACTCTGTCTGTTACTGAGATAACACGACTCTGCCTGTTACTGAGATAACACGACTCTCTCTGTAACTGAGGTGACACGCCTCAGACTGTTACTGAGATGACACGACTCTGACTGTAACTGAGATGACACGCCTCAGACTGTTACTGAGGTGACACGACTCTGACTGTTACTGAGATGACACGCCTCAGACTGTTACTGAGGTGACACGACTCTGACTGTTACTGAGATGACACGCCTCTGACTGTTACTGAGATGACACGCCTCTGACTGTTACTGAGATGACACGACTCTCTCTGTAACTGAGGTGACACGCCTCTGATTGTAACTGAGATGACACGACCCTGACTCTTACAGTGGTGACACGACTCTGGCTGTTACTGAGGTGACACGACTCTGACTCTTACAGTGGTGACACGCCTCTGACTGTTACTGAGATGACACGCCTCTGACTGTTACTGAGATGACACGACTCTGACTCTTACAGTGGTGACACGACTCTGACTCTTACAGTGGTGACACGCCTCTGACTGTTACTGAGATGACACGACTCTGACTCTTACAGTGGTGACACGACTCTGACTCTTACAGTGGTGACACGACTCTGACTCTTACAGTGGTGACATGACTCTGACTGTTACTGAGATGACACTACTCTGACTGTTACTGAGATAACACGACTCTGACTCTTACAGTGGTGACACGACTCTGGCTGTTACTGAGGTGACACGCCTCTGACTGTTACTGAGATGACACGACTCTGGCTGTTACTGAGGTGACATGACTCTGACTGTTACTGAGATGACACGACTCTGACTCTTCAAGTGGTGACACGCCTCTGACTGTTACTGAGATGACACGACTCTGACTCTTACAGTGGCGACACGCCTCTGACTGTTACTGAGATGACACGACTCTGACTCTCACAGTGGTGACACGCCTCTGTCTGTTACAGAGATGACACGAATCTGACTCTTACTGAGATGACACGAATCTGACTGTTACTGAGATGACACGCCTCTGACTGTTAGTGAGATGACACGCATCTGTCTGTTACTGAGATGAAACGCCTCCGGAATGTTACTGAGATTACGCGGCTCTGACTAAAACTGGCTATTGCAGGTGATGTTAAATCCAGTCCCTAGGGTAGCAAACGATATTTACGGGAGGAATCACATATGGATCCGCCCTGTCGATTTGCGCTCTGCCAGAGACGTCGACCTGACAAAACAAACAGTGGATACCAGGCTGTATATAGGTATAAATAACCCTTCTGACTCTGTATATAGGTAGAAATTACTCTTCTGATTCTGTATATAGGTAGGAATTACCCTTCTGACTCTGTATATAGGTAGAAATTACTCTTCTGACTCTGTATATGGGTAGGAATTACTCTTCTGACTCTGTATATGGGTAGGAATTACTCTTCTGACTCTGTATATGGGTAGGAATTACCCTTCTGACTCTGTATATAGGTAGGAATTACCCTTCTGACTATGTATATAGGTAGAAATTACTCTTCTGACTATGTATATAGGTAGGAATTACTCTTCTGACTCTGTATATAGGTAGGAATTACCCTTCTGACTCTGGATATGGGTAGGAATTACCCTTCTGACTATGTATATAGGTAGAAATTACTCTTCTGACTCTGTATATAGGTAGGAATTACCCTTCTGACTCTGTATATAGGTAGGAATTACCCTTCTGACTCTGTATATAGGTAGGATTTACTCTTCTGACTCTGTATATAGGTAGGAATTCCCCTTCTGACTCTGTATATAGGTAGGATTTACTCTTCTGACTCTGTATATAGGTAGGAATTACCCTTCTGACTCTGGATATGGGTAGGAATTACCCTTCTGACTCTGTATATAGGTAGAAATTACTCTTCTGACTCTGTATATAGGTAGGAATTACCCTTCTGACTCTGTATATAGGTAGGATTTACTCTTCTGACTCTGTATATAGGTAGGAATTACCCTTCTGACTCTGGATATGGGTAGGAATTACCCTTCTGACTATGTATATAGGTAGAAATTACTCTTCTGACTCTGTATATAGGTAGAAATTACTCTTCTGACTCTGAATATAGATAGAAATTACCCTTCTGACTCTGTATATAGGTAGGAATTACCCTTCTGACTCTGTATATAGGTAGAAATTACTCTTCTGACTCTGTATATAGGTAGGAATTCCCCTTCTGACTCTGTATATAGGTAGGAATTCCCCTTCTGACTCTGTATATAGGTAGGATTTACTCTTCTGACTCTGTATATAGGTAGAAATTACCCTTCTGACTCTGTATATGGGTAGGAATTACCCTTCTGACTCTGTATATAGGTAGAAATTACTCTTCTGACTCTGTATATAGGTAGGAATTACCCTTCTGACTCTGTATATAGGTAGGATTTACTCTTCTGACTCTGTATATAGGTAGAAATTACTCTTCGGACTCTGTATATGGGTAGGAATTACCCTTCTGACTCTGTATATAGGTAGGAATTCCCCTTCTGACTCTGTATATGGGTAGGAATTACCCTTCTGACTCTGTATATGGGTAGGAATTATGTGCCTAAAACTTTTAAAAAACCTTTCTGACCACTCTACGAAGGCTTCCACTGACTCGTCCTTCTGTTTCACTGACTCAACCAACACTTTCACGAACTCGAACACCGCTTCCACTTCTCTACCCGCTCTTTCACAGACTCTAAGACCGCTTCCACTACTCTACCCGCTATTTCACGGACTCGACCACTGACACCACCAACTGTACTACTGACACGACCACTGACTCTATACTACCCGCTATTTCACGGACTCGACCACTGACACCACCAACTGTACTACTGACACGACCACTGACTCTATACTACCCACTGTTTCACTGACACGACCACTGACTCTATACTACCCACTGTTTCAATGACACGACCACTGACTCTATACTACCCACTGTTTCACTGACACGACCACTGACTCTATACTACCCACTGTTTCACTGACACGACCACTGACTCTATACTACCCACTGTTTCACTGACACGACCACTGACTCTATACTACCAACTGTTTCACTGACACGACCACTGACTCTATACTACCCACTGTTTCACTGACACGACCACTGACTCTATACTACCCACTGTTTCACTGACACGACCACTGACTCTATACTACCCACTCTTTCACTGACACGACCACTGACTCTATATTACCCACTGTTTCAATGACACGACCACTGACACCACCAACTGTTTCACTGACACGACCACTGACACCACCAACTGTTTCACTGACACGACCACTGACTCTACCCACTCTTTCACTGACACGACCACTGACTCTACCCATCCTTTCACTGACACGACCACTGACTCTACCCACTGTTTCACTGACACGACCACTGACTCTACCCACTCTTTCACTGACACGACCACTGACACCACCAACTGTTTCACTGACTCGACCACTGACACCACCCACTCTTTCACTGACACGAGCAATGCTTCCACTGACTCTATACGACCCGCTCTTTCACTGACACGACCACTGACTCTACCCACTCTTTCACTGACACCACTGACTCTATACTACCCACTCTTTCACTGACACCACAAACTCTTTCACTGACACGAGCAGTGCTTCCACTGACTCTATACGACCCGCTCTTTCACTGACACGACCACTGACTCTACCCACTCTTTTACTGACACGAGCAATGCTTCCACTGACTCTATACGACCCGCTCTTTCACTGACACGACCAAAGCTTCCACTGACTCTATACTACCCACTCTTTCACTGACACGACCACTGACTCTACCCACTCTTTCACTGACACGACAAAAGCTTTCACTGACTCTATACTACCCGCTCTTTCACTGACATGACCACTGACTCTACCCACTCGTTCACTGACACGAGCAATGCTTCCACTGACTCAACCAACGCTTTTACTGACTCAACCAACGCTCTGGCTGACTCTAAGAACTCCATTTGCCCCCTTTATTCGCGGATTTCGTGGATATTTTCTGTTACAGGTATGGAGTTCAACAACAACGACAACCAGAAATACAACAATAAGAAGCTATATTCAACTTCGGATATTCCACCCAGAAAAGGACATTTTACACCCGTGATGGATAATGTATCCTTCCAAGAAATTACAATAACACACTTATGCAGTTATGAGTTATCCAGTTGGAAATAAAGTCAAATTCTTTTCAGTTGATGCCCGCGGTATATTGAATGTAAGCATTCATTATAACACCGAGCATTGAAGAAATATTAAACAAAGTCAGCAAATCATCTTAACGCATGCGCAGATAACCTTCTTCCTGCCGCCCATCCCACTGCTGTCTCAGCCGGAGGACGTTGATGACTCGTGGTTCTGTAACAGATCAACTGTGACGGACTCCGACAAGTGTCTGACGGATCTGTGTCTGTGTACACATACGCTCAGGTTTAAGCAAAACGAGGCCAGTTGGTTGATTTTTCACTAATCCCACACTGGGACATCGTGCGATTTTTTCTCGAAATCAGTCATGCATGTAACTTGCTCGGATTAAGAGGGGGTCGTCTCCCATGCAGATTGTAAATAATTCAGATGTTTTTATTACATAGTATGGTGACCGAGAGGGAACATCACTTTCTCGCTGTCTCGCTTTCTCACTCTCTCGATTTCTCGCTCTATCGTTTTGACGCTTTCTCACTCTCTCGATTTCTCGCTCTATCGTTTTGACGCTTTCTCACTCTATCGCTTTCTCGCTCTATCGCTTTCTTGCCGTAACTCAAAATCCCCTATTGACCACTACTGGGGTCGCATGTGTTATCTTTTTCAATTGGGAGGGAATGTTGAAATTTAATCACTGTTTACTTAAACATAATTTAACTGTACAGACGTAGGTGATTTTAATACAATCCTAAATATGGCCCTATTTGGGAGTGTTATGTGAACATCACGCCGAAAGCGTGTGGCGGGCCATGGCAATACGTTCTAAATAAATCAGGTTAAAGTCTAAATATATACATTTCAGAAGAAGTTGGAGGACACGGGTGGCCAAATCGTCTAAGGCGCCGCAATTCGCTGAGCAGAGTTGCATCCCTTTGGCACGCCAGAAACCTATGATTGTGGGTTCGAATCCCGGTTCATCCCGATTATGTTTCTAGGTTTGTCAGCACCATACCCGTGCTCGTGGGTTTCACCGAAGTGGTAAACGTCTGAGACCTGCATCACTTCGGGCATTCCTCCCACAGCTGACACGCCGTCATATAACTGGAATACTGTTAAAAGCGGCCTCACTCACTCAAAGAAGTTGAAGAACACCCGATTCTTTCATATGACTATGGTAAATCATTCATGGCCGATTGTATTGCAAAACACAATCTTATAATTGTGGGTGTTCTTTAACTTGTTTTGAGAAGTATATGATTTAACAGTGTGAATGCCACAATACTGTTGTCCGTAAATATTCTTTTTGATCCCCTCCAGCAACGATGCGAACGGCCCCAACACGACGTCGAACTGAGTACAAGAGTCTCCTGACATCCTGATTAGGGATCCTACGCCATTCTTCCTGCAGGGCAATTGCCAAGGCATCCCTCGTCAATGGCGGCCGTTGACGTTTCCGAATCCTGCGTCCAAATTGGTCCCAGAGGTGCTCCATGGGCGACAGGTCCGGTGATCTGGCTGGCCACTGTAATACGGTCACGTTGTTGGCGTTCAGAAAGCCGCAAGTGACTTGAGCTGTGTGAGGGGTGGCGTTGTCCTGCTGAAACAGCAGGTGTCGTTGCAGGAACGTCAGTACCACAAGCCGCAAAACTTCATCAATTTAACAACGTGCAGTGAGATTTCCGTCGATGATGACCAGATCTGTCTTCTGGTCCCCGCAGATGCCACCCCAGAACATGACACTACCATCTCCATAAGGCTCCACTTCTTGGACGCAACAACGTGCCGTCCGTTCACCACGTCGTCAGTAGGTTCGAACCCGCCCATCAGACTTGAAGAGCTTGCACCTACTCTCGTCGCTGAAGAGCACTCTTCGCCAATTTCTCTGCTGCCATTGCTGTAGAGTCCTGGCCCATCTCAGTCTGTGACGTCGGTGTAGAAACGTTAACGTCATGTCCTTGAAAAGTCGAGGCACGGAGGCCATATAGGCGGAGTCGTCCAGCAACGGTCATTCTGCTGACTGGATGTCCAAGGCTGTTTGCGGATGATGACGTCACAGTTAGGAATCTGGACATTAGGTGAAGCACCCGTAAATATCGGTCTTCCTGTGGGGTCGTGACCTTGGGTCTTCCACTCATCGGCCTGTCTGCAGTACTGCCAGTTTGCCTGTGACGTGTGACAAGTCTGTCGATGGTGCACTTGAAGCAGCCCATGATCCTGGCAACGTTCTCCTGCGTCGCTCCCATTTGCAACATACCGATGCATTGCACCCATTGCACCCATTGCACCCATAGCACCCATGTGAGATCGAACTTGGGCCTTCGGCGTGACGAGCGAACGCTTTAACCACTAGGCTACCTCACCGCTCCCATCGCTGTGATAATGGTGTTATCACAGTCGATATGTGTACAAGGGTAAACTACACATATGGAGAGACATCCTAATTAGTGCGGCCACACAGTTAACGTTGATTACAATACGAAGTGCATTACTGTGATTATCTGTAACATATGTTAAATAAGCTGTCATTCTAATATTTTATGTTTATTTTGTGTGGGTGGGTGGGTTGTGTTGTCTGTCTGTCTCCCTTTGTCAAGCTGCATGTATATGTATGTGTGTGTGTGTATTTATATATATATATATATATGTGTGTGTTGTGAGTGTGTGTGTATAATATATATATATATATATATATATATATATATATATATATATACAAAAATGAGGTAAATGTTCACTCGGTGTACATGTTATATATAATAAAATAATAAAGTCCACGTTAGTCCATCATCTTCTTTATATCAGTTTCATACATAGTACTTTCGCTGTCTCATGACAGTTACACTGAAGAGCTGTCATGAGACAGCGAAAGTACTATGTATGAAACTGATATAAAGAAGATGATGGACTAACGTGGACTTTATTATATATATATATATATGTGTGTGTGTGTGTGTGTATTTATATATATGTGTGTGTTGTGAGTTTGTGTGTATGTGTGTGTGAGAGAGCGAGTGTGTGTGTGTATTTATATATATATGTGTGTGTGTGAGTGAGAGAGAGAGAGTGTGTGTGTGTGTGTGCGTGCGTGCGTGCGTGCGTGCGTGCGTGTGTGTGTGACTCACTGTATATGTATATATCTGGTAGATAATTACTCAAATCAGAACGCAAAATTGATAACAACCAACTGAGTACAGAATTGTTACATAACTGGGAATATTCCTGCTTGAACAAAGAGCCGTTACTACAATCGGATGTCTAGTCTCACCTGGCGGATAAGGTAAACTTTATTTTACAAGCACATTAACATTGAATTAAATTCCCGAAGACAGTTTTTTTAAAGGAATTATAAGAAACAAATTGTTTTTCTCTTATCTATCTGTATTTTTAATAAATAATCTATATGTAATTAATTATTTGTTCCAGTTCAATGTACCTTCAAAGTTTCAGTTTTAAGATTGAAGAAAGAATAGGGAAGTATTATCAATAAAATGAAAATAAGAATAGCGGAAAACCTTCACAGACCGTGTTTAAACATGGAGAGATATAGCTCATTTCCTCCTACACAACGCTTGTGTCAACGACGGGGATGGGGACAGGTTAAAAACTCCCAATAAGGGCAATTAAGTTTAACCAAAATTGCAAATAATCCGCGAACTTCCTGTGGAGTTTGGCGAAATAAAGTAAAAGTAAAAGACTTTTCTGTTGTAGTGTAAATAAATCTTGTTAATTTAGTACACCACAGGAAAATAAACACATTCGTGTCTACAAACTAAACGATGTTTACGGCATTATGGGAAATATCGCTTCTCGCTTTCATGCTCTATTGCTTTCTCGCTTTCTTGCTTTCTCGCTTTCTTGCTTTCTCGCTCTGTCGTTCTATCGCTCTCTCGCTTTCTCGCTCTATCGCCACGCGGCGTGGTCGTCCCATAAAACTATCAAATAGGGCCATAAATCAGTCAATTACTTTTCATGCATACATCCGTGGATTGTTATAGGTAGTCCGTCATGGGAAAGTTGTTTTTTTCCGATTGAATTTAAATGTCAATACATGTGTCGTTCATGTATGCTCGCGGTGTTCAGGTAGTACTGTTGGGGGGACTATAGGCATCCAATAAAATTTAGTGGTAGTGGTAGTGGTAGTGAAGTTTTAGTGGTAGTTGTAGTTGTCATGGTTGTCTTGGTCATCATGGTTGTTGATTATTAGTTTGGTGGGTAGTAGATGGTGTTGTAGTAGTAGTATGTTGTCGTAGTCGATGTAGAATTAGTAGTAGTAGAAGTTGTAGTACTCTTGGACTTTGTGTGAATAACGTTGGCCAGCAGGTACAGCGACTACCCCGGTCAGTTGACTCTGACTTGAGTTCCTGCACGGTGGCCTTTAGGGATTTCTTTGAAGAAAGTCTTGCGTGTGAGAGAGTGGAGGATGCTACGAACGGGTATAAGTGATGTTTACGACAGCGCGGGAGATGAGCTCGCTACTGTGGACGTGGGTCTTTGTCCTCGCCTATTGTTAGTAGTCATGATTGAGGGTTACACAATAGGGGTGTTACCTGTAGTTCATTGCAGAAAACTTAACAAATATCCACTGGCAGATAATTTATTGCAAAAAAACAATTACATATTTTACATATTTCATTCTTACTTACACACTGGATAATTTGCCTATTTTTTTCACTATAACTTAAGAACATGAATACACATTAACTTACACAGCACGCCACTATTATAACTATAGCGATATACATGATACCAAAATTGAAAAGAGGAAAGTGTCGAATTTCAAGATATCGTTTGTCCCAGGATCTTTAAATAAATTATCTTCTTGGATTTCAATCGTTTGTTCTACCCAACTTGTACTGATAATTGCAACATTGTATTTTGTAACATCGAATTGGACATCTATATTTCACAATGCCTGCTGTTTTTGATTTGTGAAGAGATCACGTCATTGAAGTTTTCACTTATAAATTATTTTCTTTTTCGACTTCAGATCGTAGAGCTAGTTATCATAAACGAAGCAAAGGCATTCCAAGAATTAGGCCACCCAATGCACCTGCACGGCCATAGCTTCTACATCATGGGAGAAGGGAAGGTGAGAGAGGCAGAACAGGACTTTAGTGTTAACAAGAATGATGGCATGTTGATATTTTAATATATGGCATCTATATTGGGAAAATGACCATGTTTGACCAATATTAGATGATCTTTGTACATGTCTTTGTGATACCATTTTATCTTGGTTGTATCTGGTGGCAAGCAAATTCTTTTCACAACTGAAGGATGACACCAGATCGTCTCCAAACTGACTTTACATACCACCCTAGCCGGATGAAACCGAAACTAGACTTTGGTGTTTACACCGATGGAAATTCTCAGATCTATTCAAGAGGTTCTGCTTGTGTCCTGCTGGCCACATCATACACAACGGGGCACACTGACGTGTTCAACGTGAAAAAAAACACTTTCTAAAATGTGTACCAGAAGAGCTATTGCATCGTGCTACCAGTCTTAATCTTGTTATATTTCAATTAACATGTTCTAGTTTAACAAGAAGTCAACAAGCCGGGCTGAAGTGATGCGTCTTGACCAGGAGGGGCAGATCCCCCGCAACTACATCAACCCCCCTTACAGGGACACCATCAACGTACGCGACGCCGGTTATGTCATCCTCAGATTTCAGGCCAATAACCCAGGTACATGTCGTGTTATGACGTGACTTTATTGACACGCTGTACTTTATTATAAACATCATTTTACTGAGAACTTTTTCGTCGTGACTTTTCATGGTATTATTCCTATATATATATTTGTTTACCATGGCGTTGACGTATGGCAATAACTACGTGTTCTTCTTTCAGGCTTCTGGTTCTTCCATTGTCACACTGACAGTCATCTGGCCCAGGGGAAGGCCCTGCTGGTGCAGATAGGAGAATACAAGGACTTCCCTCCAATCCCCTCCACCTTCCCCAAGTGTGGGGGGTGGGGCTACTCTAACGCCAAGAGGAAGAAGGGGGAGCGCCCGTGTGTCACGAGTGGAGCTGCTCAACACTCTGCCGGTTTCCTAGCGACCATCTCTGTAGCAATGGTTGCCTGCAGGAGTATTGGCGCCATGATTCACAACTACCTCTGACTGTATATTATGAACATCTAAAACTTATTTTATTATTTCCCCAAAATGTTTATTTCTTTACTTGCGTTATTTACTAGCGGTAGCACCAATTAGTTAATTTCCTTTTATGAATTTAGAAATGGGTTCGTAGAAAAATGCTGTTGTCTAAAGAAAATAGGAAGAAGGCATGCTAATGTATCCTCAATGGTTATTTCTGCCGCCTTCAACTTGACAGGCAATATTGAGTATGTTAAGAATTGCAGATTTATAGTTCTGATCAAAACGGTTGTCCTTGTTGTTGTTGCTTGAAGTGTTAAAGAGTTCGCCTCCTGCCTTTGCAATTTCGACTTACCTGCCCTTTTTTGAGATTTATGTGTGTGAGTAGGGTACACATATCTATTGAGAGTTTTAGCATTTATAAAATTTCTGTTTTCGTATTGATAAGATTTCTATTTCGTATTGATATGATTTTTGTGTGTGCATTTTTAGAAATTTCAATAGAATTTCTTTGGCTGCTCTGTGTATAGACGTTCGAGTAGTTTTAGGAGATCCACTACAGAAAGCGGATCTAACTGCAATCCTCATTTTAACCGAGACCTGGCTGGGGCGTGTTCTTGACAAGTGAGCAATGGATTCAAGTTGACTGCAAGATGGGCATACTTTGTCATAGTGCCTTTTGTGACCGAGTCTGAGGCGTGAGATGGCTACTTCAACTTTCCATACATTTGAGTAGGAGTATGGCTTTTTGTGGATTTTGGGTTGAATTTTGTGTAGCCATCTGCCTATCTTACTCGCTTTCCATTTGGCTTGAGAGTTTCAGCCATTGGAGGCTTAGATCTTGCAATTTATCTCTAGTTTGCTCAAGGATATAAGCCATATCTCCGCTTTGACAAGAGCTAGCTTCGCCAGTGTGTCGATTTTTCATTTTTATGTGAGATGGGATCCAACGGGATCCAACATACCTCAACTTGACTGATCAAATGATGAATGGTCGACCTTGGATTAAAGTTATATTCATACTTATATTTGTACTTATTCTTACACTTCATACTTGCTTAGAACATAAGAATGTGATCTTACTCTTGCTAACAGCTCTCCCTTTCTAGGTTATGAGAAGGAAACATTTTCCTCGCATTCGCTTGTTAAAGGTTTAAACAAACACATTACATAAATCGCCAAAATAGAAGCTATGTGTATTTTTCCAACGAAAATGCATGTGTCAGATAAGCAAATTATGGGCAGCCCATTTTCACCATATTTTCGAATGCATCTACATGACCAAGATCACATTTCACGTCACCATTTGATGGTCAAGTTTCGGGCAGGTTACTAGTGCACATGTGATATTGGACGCTATTCTGTCCGTCCGAGCAATGGATATTTTTACAACATGTATATATTGCATGTTTACATTTACATTTTAATACAGGACTAATTATAATCCAAGTAGCTACAACCATCTGGTGGTAAGCAGTAGTAGTCTGTATATATAGCCCGTTTTGTCTTTTTATGGAATAATATTGAGAAGAACAGTGCTTTCCTCAATAGTAACTACCTGATACAGTGCCAACACACCTTTACCAAAGTAGAGTAGTTGTCTAAAAGACAGTTCAAGCCCTTCACCTGCCATGTTAATCCAATAGGAAAATATGGTCAACAGGACGTAGCCACCACGAGTGAGGTGGCCACTACGAAGGATGACCCCATGAACCTCTTACACAGTCTGACCAAGTAAAATCTCTTTTGAAGAAGTGGTATCTGGCTATCAATTTAAAGATGAACAGGAATAAGCCGAGACATCAGATACAGCTGAGTCCTATTTCAGGGGGAAATGTCAAACGGTCTAAAGTTTGAAGATGTGGATGAGGGTCTCATGGGGTCCACTGAGAAAATATCCACGTCCATTATTGAACACCAGGGAGAAGGCAGCAACTGGACTGTTGACAAGGTCGTATAACTGAGTATACACAGGGCATGCTACTAGTGACATCCCCTGCCTATCAAGCTAAGAGCTAAACATGCTGTCATTAATGTTATAAATGCATATGGATAACAAATGCTTTATGTGCACAGTCCTGTCTGCGTTGCACCCAGTGAACAAGCATGCTTAACGTAATGCTAAATGCAAACAATATGTTGATGACATGGATTTCCACGACATCGCCTTTCCTGTCAAGATGGTGAATGTCCCCAAGTTTGAATTCCAAAACAAGATTTCTTTTAACATCTTTGGATATGAAAAGGTGAAGTCTTCCCCATTCAAATCACAAAAATAAGCTTGAGAAGGATGAAGACCTTTTGTTAATCTCAGTTCTAAAGAAAACTCATTCCGATCAAATATATCTCCCCAAAGAAGAAGAAAAATGGTTCTTCTGTAAAGACATCAAGAAACAGCGCAAGGTCCCTATATGCTTTATGCAGATTTCGAGTCACTCCAGGTCCCTATCTCTGTCTGTCTGAGGAACCCCACATAGTCATCTACGGAGAAAATGACGAAACAAATCTTCAAGTTGTAGGGTTGACATCATCAACAACCGTAGTGTACAGATAACGTAATGCTGCAGACGTCAAGGCTATGGTGGCGGAGCAGGAGAATTTAGAGAAAAACTTCGAAAACTGCGAAGAAAGTGTAGAGATTGCAAAATTTCCCCAAAATGGCGACTCATTACCATATTTGCCATCAAAAGTTAGCAACAGATACACCACTGTCACCTGACCGGACAGTGTAGGAATGCAATATAAATATCATATTTACAGGTAGGATTCCAGTGACTTCCATAATTTGAGATGCTACAATAGTCATCTAATTATGCAGGCCATAGGGATAGTCCAAGACGAGAAAATCAATCAAGGATGCAAATCTGTCCGTATGCATATTTAGAGGCAAGATTTCTTGAGGCCAGCCTCCCACCAAGAGAGGCTTTCCATAGCACTGAAAATGAGATATCAGAAGGCGACTATGGTAATGCGCAGACTATCTGGAACACATTCAAAATTCAGGACCAAGGTCAATATCATGACCTTTATGTCCTTACTGATGAGTTGGCCCTGGCTGATGTTTCCTGAAAACTTCCGTAACATGCGCTTAGAACCTTATGAGTTAGACCCAGCACATGTCCATACCAGTCCAGGCCTAGCTTCGCAAGCCGCACCAAAAATGATTATTCCTTAGAACCTCATGATCTCCACAATGAATATCCCTTGTCTCCTGAAAAGCTGTAAGTGACAGGCAACCTCTCAACCCATGTTCAGCGGTTGTTGAAAGATTTGAATCTGCAGGGAACCTCGACTGACAAACTAATTCCTAATCTAAAACCTAAAGAGAAATATGTACTCCACAACCACAATTTGAAATTCTATCTGTCTCTTGTCATGAGACTGACCAAAGTCCACAGAGTTTTTAAATTTGAACAATGTCCATAGCTCAACGTCTACATCAATTTCAACACTAGTAAGATAAAACAGGTGAGAAATGAATTGAGAAAGATGTTTTACAAATGGATGAATACTGCAGTGTTTGGGAAGATGATGGGGAATTTAGGGAAAAGAGCGGTAATCTAATTTGTTCAAGGTATGAAGAGAGCCACGAAATTGATCGCCAAACCATCTTTTCATGCAGTTAGAATATTCAATGACGACCTAGTAGCTGTCCACATGTTGAAACAATTACTATATCTAAACAGACCTATCTACGTCAGCTTCAGTATTCCAGACGTCTTCAAAATATTCTCATATACTAGTATGACTTTCAATACATTAAACCTGTTTACGGCAGGTCAGCTCCTTTTCACAGGTACAGATTCTCTGTGTGTTCCTATCCAAACAGAAGATATCTATCAGGATATGTTGAAAGATTTACAACACAGTCAGCCTGAAGGTTCGTCAAATTTAAATATGAAACCCATGGTGTCTCCCTCCAGGAATTTACCAAGGTAGAGGACTTACTTTGTGAAACATATACTTACAGAGTACAACATTACCCACACAGTGGTTGTGTATACAATGGCAGCATCTGTACGATATTATCAGGAGGACCGTTCACCCTCCTTTATATTTTGTACAAGGATTCCTTCCGAGCTGGAAAGTGATCATTTTCTCAATGCTAAAGTGGGAAACTTTACTGCCTGAGATCATTTGATGTCTACAACCAGGATTAGCGTATTAATAATTTGATCACTTGATTGCCAGCAACCACAACTTGAATTATAGTAGATACCCCACTCAGAAACTGCCACACTCTCGTCCTGTTCAACAACCTAATAGATCAACAACTAGTGTTGACCTTAGCTTGACAAATGTATCTGGGACAAACACAAAAACAATCATGCAAACGTTTGAAGAAGCTATTGCAAAACCTTTTGGATATCTTCTCATTGACCTTGAGGGTGAACAGACGTGTGACAAATTGTCTTTAGACATGTCTGCCTGTGATTATTGTGAATTCATGTTTGGGACACGCATGATTTGCAGAGACACATCAAGACTTGATGTCTTGAAAATGATGATGGTTCCTAAAGAAAACTAATCTTGACTTGTCTGCTACTGAATCTAGCAAAGGCGATGTGTTTTCTGATGTGGCGAGTAATAACGATAAAGAAAGGGAACTAAAGGGACTGGCATTTCTTTAGAAGAAAACACCGGAGAGTTGTCATACAGGTATACTGGATAAGAAGGAGGAATACGAAGATAAAGGTCGCAGAGAGAGATGGATTGAAAGAAACTTACGAAAATGTTAGGAGGAGACATTCCAAGATCGATGATTACAAGCTAGGGAGTATGTGAGCTATTCTAGTTTCCGGCCATTGTTTAAACCTATTCTACAGTGAAACAGATCCAAATGTCATATCTGCTAAGATTAAGTTGTGGATGAAACCCGTGTTCAAACTAGCTGCCAGCCCACCGGCCAAATGCCAGTGACTTAACTCCCCAGTGTTTAAAAAATGGACATGTCCGACATTGCCGTGGTCGGTTGTGTTCAGGGAGTCATCAATATATAAATACGGGCAAATATTTTTAAAGCTTGTTGTTACCTGTCGATTCCCAAATTGAAACAATATGTTAACCCAGGAATATGTACGTAAAAGAACTTAGTGTGAAACCAACAAACAACCAGCAAGTGGTATACAATCAACAAATGTATTACAAATTTTCACTAAGTTTACAAATCAATACAAATTACTGCAAACAATGGCTGTGGCAGTAAACATTAGAGTGGTAGGAGAACATTAAGTGACAATATGAAAATGATGGCAGTGATCAGTATTAAATACACAATACAGTGGTGAATGCAAACGTTAGTGATATATATATTCACCCAGTGGCCATGTCTCGGAGATGGGCTAGGCAGAGAATCAGGGATGATGATCCTCACATGAAAGCTGGTTCCGATGTGATGAAAATGCGAGAGCGGTACGTAAATTCACTCTTGTCCCCTTATAAAGTCTAACCAGCTACTGGAAATTTTCACACAGTGCCCTCATAACATAGAACATTACAGAAGTTTCGGTAACATACTTTCACAGTCCGCGGTGTACCAGACCGGAAGTTTACACACAACACTAGCATCTAAATATAGTAACTTACTGACGACTGATCCAAACACAATACAATGAGCGTCTGCCGAATCTCAACGGAAACAATGAAACAGTTACAATCATTGTTAAACAACAAAACACTCTGCCATAAAACACTTGTGAAGAGGCTTTAAAGAGGCTGTACATTATGTAGATGTGTCATGTAAGTTGTTTATCGTACAATAAAATATTGCAGGGCAAATTTACCATTCGAGGCTGCGACCCTAGAGGTTTGTTCTCCATGCAGTGTTTTATTGTACGATAAACAGCTCACTCGTCTTTTATTTCTTAAAAAAAACATTGTGTACACATCTATATCCATAACTGAGCTAGTGTTCCAGCCAAGTTAGTTTTCCTGGACCTGACAAATTGTATAGATATGTGAGAAATGTTTGAAAATATCTCCTGGGTATTACGGTGCAAACACAGATGAAGAAAGGACACATTCAA